AGCGCAGATGGACAGGTTATCATGTAAAATTAAGAACAATCTAAACAGTAATCATATATTTTTTTACAAGAAATGAAATACAATATGTGCAAGCAACGCTTCCCGCAGCATAGAGACCCATGACACACTGGAATAGTGTTGTTTGTTTTTTCAATTGACACGAATGTTGATACGAGTATAAAGCAGTGGTCTTGTGATAGTCGCACTCGTTGTGGCTTCTAAAATTTTCGAGCACGTTCTACCAACACTTGAACGGAAAGAGGACCAAGGCACCCAAAAATTGGTGACTCCGCTTGACTGAACTTTCTTTTCCAAAAAGCGCACATGTCTTCCAGAGAGCTCCCTCCTGATATTTAGAATACACCATCCAGGCAAACATTTCTTTCCAGAGAGGTTGGAACTTCAATTATTGCTTACCAACTGAGGAAAAGCTGTAGTTAGCACCTGGTTTCTATAGCGTCTTTAGCAAACGTCGTCTAGTCTCATCGTCTTGCAACTTTTGGCGTCTTGGCTCATTAAACACGCAAAGACCAATGTCGTTGTCAGGAATCGTGGTTTCCGTGTATGAATCATCCTGCGATCGGTTTTCAGGAGTTCTTTCGGTACACCAGTCGTATTCAAGCAGTGCAGAACTACAGCTGGGAACAGTTTCTTCGGATGCTGTAGCCTCTTTGCCAGTGGTCGAGTGTGCACTTGGGCAAGCCGTACCTTCAAGAAATAATCATTAATGGTAACCTTATGGCGTTTCGGCGTTGTCATCGACTCTCATAGAAGGGCGCTTATTGACACAGAACCCGAACTACCCACGAATACGTGTAGGCCGCGTTTTCAAGGAGTAACGCCGCATCGCTAGGGTGGAATGCGCTCAGCGAAGTTGGGCAGTGGCACTGAATGCGAGAAACGAGAACTTTAGCGACGATACATGTCAGCTCGTGATGTTCCGCCTAAATGGGCCCTGAAACAGTTTTTTGAGTAACCATGAAATTAATTTACTGGAAGAGCTTATGGCCTCACAAATTCAACGTCGCACAAATTTAAATAATCCGTCCAGTACGAGCGGATTTACAAAAATTAGTCATACGCTACAATCGCATTGTCTCTTCTCGCGTCTTGACGAAAGCGCTGGAAGCTAAGCAGGCAGAGATGGGAGGGGCAAACAAAATACGTCACGCGCGTTTCGTGACCTTGAGCACTTTTTTCCTTTTTATCTTCAAATATGCTGCTTTTTAGTGCGATCGCGCACGCACGCCTAGGCAATTGACGGCCTCCCGTGGCGATCTCAGTAACGACCAAGCGCACCATGTTCAAATCAGCAAATGGCTGATAGATCGGCGTTTTACGAGTTATTTTTGGGCATCTTCTATCATTTGTCGAGGGAAGAGAGAGTAATTTTTAGCTGACTTTGATATATTATTGTGAATTCCAGACCACGTGCTGCGCTATAACATTTAGCTCGCGTGTTATCGGGAGCCTCTACTGCCGATCGGCAGCCTTTTCTGACCTTGTTCAAAAAATGTTTCAGGGCCTCTTTAAACACTAGTGCTCGTTTCTCCACTGGCATAACAGTCCGTGGGTATACGTTTTCCTTCTCTGCTTCCTTTCAGGTGCCGGTAAGGTCGCGCTACCAAGTATCTTACTGTGCACGTGAGACGTCTCTCGTTTGTGATTGCGCCCCTACAGAAGGCTGGTAGGTTCTGATGCGTTGTGATGAGGTACCACAAACGTGAATGAACGTGAAGGTGTTGATGTGAGCAGTGAATTTCCAGCGACTCGCATCAGAAAGCCCGAAACAGACAACCGACAGACACGGATGGTGTACAATACCGCGTAAGTAAACTCGTGTTGCATGCGCTGACAGTTCGCGTCGGAGTTCACGCATTTTGAGAAATCGATTATGGCGCACTGTGCTCTGCAAAAGGCCGAAGTTTATTCCTTCACCACTAGTGAACCGATGACTCGAGATATTGTGTGGTATGAGGCTCCTCCTGTTTGCGCCGGCTTAAGTGCTGCAAACATCAATGGACGTACTAGTTAGAAGAGTGTATACATAGCATATATATGCTGCGTGGTGAATTATTCTGTACAGTTCTGAATCTGGTGACATAAAAGGAAATAATGGCTGCCCGCTTGCAAACAACGGAAGACACCTGCCACAATGCTGCCGTTTCAGAGCGCAGAGCGACGAAATCTACGGAAAAAAAAACGAGAACATTATGCGCTTTTGTGCGTATTCAAGTTTTCTAGCGCATTTATGCAGCAAACAAGCTAATTCTGTCTGAGATGGGATAGTCTGGTCCCAGGTTCATTTTTGATTCAGACGAACTGAACATTTCTTAACAATGATTAACTTGCCCTTGCAGATTGCACGATAAAACCTCTACGATTGGAATATTCATTACTATGAAACGTCACGGTGCAATTGTAATATCCACCAAGCTTGCTAGAAAGTCGGTCCGAAAAATAACGCGTGAGAAATTTAGTTGCAAACGTGCAGCATAACTATAGAATATTACTTAATACTTGGATACACTCAGTAAAGAATGTTAACTGAAAGCTATCACTGCGTCAGGACTGCTTGGCATATAGAGCGTAACATAAAAATCATTCTCATAGGCATGCAGTCACAAGCATCAACAGTAAGGAATTATTCGCTCAGCAAAATAAGCAAAATATAATTGTTAATCTACAAAAACATGCTGCGCATACCTCTCATTCCTCGTTGTAAGCGGAGCCATCTTTTACTTGTAAAACGCACTTCGCCATGACGAGGACTACGTCATCTACGCTCAACAGAGATTAACAATTAACGATGTCTTCTTCGATATGGTGGGTCATCGCAACGATACATTTTCAAAGACTAGTCCATTCAATTGTGCGACAAGAGGCCGTGGCTTCAAACGGTCACCCTACCTGTCGTTTACTGTATTTTATAGCGATTACTATGCTAGAAGTCCCAACATCATTTTATTCCATAAGAAAGAAAACGTCAAGAACTTGAGAAATTACAGGCCGATCAGTTTACTGTCCATTTTCTACATACCATTTACAAAAAGTATAGCTAATAGAATTAAGGCGACATTAAATTTTAATCAAACAAAGGACAAAGCAGGATTTCGTACAGGCTACTGCAGAGTAGACCATATTCATACTTCCAGTGAGGTAATATAGAAAAGCGTGGAATAAAACCAACCCCTATACATACCTTCCATTGATTACGAGAAGGCCTTTGACTCAGTGAAGACATCAGCAGTAATCCAGGCACTACGGAATCAGGGAATCAACAAACCCTGCATAAACATACTGGAAAAATATTACAGTGGATCCACAGCCACATTAGTTCCCCATAAAGAAAGCGACAGAATTCCAATAAAGAATGGGGTAAGGCAAGGAGCGACGATTTCTGCAATGCTATTCACCGCGTGTTTACGACGATTTCTGCAATGCTATTCACCGCGTGTTTACAGGAGCTTTTCAGGGCCCTAGAGTGGGAACAGTTAGGAATAAGACTTAATGGAGAGTATCTTATAATCTGCGATTCGTTGATGACATTGCCTTGTTGAGAAACTCAGGGGACGAATTACAGCTCATCATAACTAAACTGGACACGGAAAGCAGAAGAGTAGGTCTGAAATTAGTATGCACAAAATTACAATAATGTGCAACAGTCTCGGTAGAAAGCACCACTTTGTGAGAGGTGGAGACACGCCGGAAGTTGAAAAGGAATATGTCTACTTAGGACAGGTAGTAACCGCAGAGCCAAACCATGAGATTGGAATAACTGAAAGAATAAGAATGGGGTGGATAGCATTTGACAAGCATTCTCTAATCATGAATGGTAATATGCCACTAAACCTCAGGAAGACGGTATATAAGAGCTGCATCTTGCCGGTACCTACTAACATAGCAGAAACCTAGAGGCTGACAAAGAGGGTTCAGCTTAAACTGAAGACGACGCAGCGAGTGATGGAAAGGAAAATGATAACTGCAGCCTTAAGAGACAAGAAAAAAGAAGAGTGGATAAGGGAACAAACCGGTGTTCAGGATATCATAATTGAAATCAAGAAGAAATGAACATGGGCCCGGCTCTTTGCACGTAGGCACAATAACCGCTGGTGATTACGGGTAACTGACTGGATTCCCAGATCAAAAAGACGCACGAAGGAGAGGCAGAAGGTTGGGTGGGCCGTTGAGATTAAGAAATTCGTAGGTATAACGTGGCAGCAGAAAGCACAATACCGAGTTTTATTGGCGGATCTTGGGAGGGGCCTTTGCCCTGACGTGGTCGTAGTCCGGATGATGATGATGATGACTATGATGATGATGATGATGATGACAATACATTCACTTACTCTCTGCACAAGCGTACGCATAGGAAGAGGGGAGGGGGAGTCTCACGACTTTAATATAGTACATGTACACAATCTGCTCAAACTTCCACCGATAGTCAGGTCACAGAGAAAAGCTGATGCCTGCGTCCCCCCCCCTCCTTCATTGGGTTGGAGTGAATCCCCCACCCAACCCCTCGGAAAAAATTTCTGGCTACTCCCCTGCAGCAAACGTCAAAAAACACTGCTAAGCACAATGAAAGCCCGTCTTGTCTGCCACGTGTTCCAAGGCCACGCGAAGCAAGTGGGTAGCGCGGCGGCTGCAGCCGGCCCGTCAAAAGGTGTGCCGCTTTTTTGACAGCCTGATGACAAGTCACCAAGCCAGGCACCCGACCCCGTGCTCAGTGACGATTACACAACACCTATACGTACGTGTGCTATATCTCAAAGGGAAGTCAACCGTGCACCGACGGCACCTGTCACGCCAGAGGGGCCCGTTTCTATTAAAATCCATATAACGAACCTCCAACACGCAAAAGCGAGAGCTGTCCTCGATAGCCGACGAGAAGCGATGTGCCGCATGACTGAAAGGCAATCAGTGAGATGACACCTGTCAACTCATCCGACGCCCACGGAGCGCCAGCACCGGCAAGCGGCATTCTCGGTAGAAGGCGAGAGTCAGTGCCGATTCGAGTACTGAGCCGTCATGTGCGCGACCACATGCACTCCGAGAACCGACGAAACAAGGGTAAAGAAAGATGGGCTACATGTTCGAAGAAATCGTCGTGCAGAAGAAGTTATGTGGGCATATAGGTGAGTATATCTATGAACTTATTACGCGAGTCTTAACTGGTATATTATATCACGTACAGGGTGATCCAGCATCAACGCATGTTGTTTCATTACTGAGTGAAGCATTCCTTGCGAGAGAAACTGACTGTATATCTTGCAAACCAATGAGACATTCAGTGCTCTAGCCCGCAAGTGTTTTATGATGCGGGCATCCTAGACTTTAGGGACGTATTTCGTCACGAATATGACGTTAATAAAATTTACGCTGCCAAGTGACATAGCAAAAACATTTAGTAAAGTTCCCAGCCTTGAGTTGAACCTCTGCCTCTTCAAGCCGTGCTGATACCTGTGCATTACCGAGGAGCTTGTTTCAAACGTTCGTTATATCGGTTACACATTCTCTCTCGCAAGGTGCTCTCTGATGGCGGAGTGGTATGGTGCCGCCGTCCGTTAGCGGTGAAAATAAGTAATGCGGAATGACACTTACTAGCTCTGAAAGAGAAATCTTCGTCGACGCGCATATCGAATACCAGTGTATATGACGTACTTTTTGATGTCATATATGCACGGGGTTCACGACAAGCTGTGTGCAGGTATGTCGACAACGTGAACTCCCAATGGTTAAATCATGATTGTGGTCATTATTTCTTGTGATGGTGGTGTGCCACTAGGCGTTAACGTTAGCGTACCTTCGTCAAACGGTGTTGTAGCTGCCTCAACAATAGACACTGTGCAAGCTCTTATATCGTGGGTGCACGCATTCGAACCTCAATATATGTGGGGATAAACGTCCAAAAACCACCATATGATTATGAGAGGCGCCGTATATAGTGGAGGGCTCGGGAAATTTTGACCACCTGGGGTTCTTTAACGAGCGCCCATATCTGAGCACTCGGGCCTACAGCATTGCCGCCTCCATCTAAAATGCAGCAGCCGCAGCCGGGATTCGATCCCGCGACCTGCGGGTCAGCAGCCGAGTACATTTGACACTAGACCACTTCGGCAGAGTGGTTCAAATCTCGCCTCACCGAGAAAAAGTTTTCACCGAAAATTCCCTACTTTCTCCTTCTTCCGATCTCTTTCTTTCTCTATATCTGCACTGGTTTTCTCGCCAACAGTGTTATTTGATCTCACGCAGAACAAATGGGTACATGAATTGATGCATCATTTAAGCGCAATAATGAAGCCATGTCTAATATGAAGTCTGTGCCCCCCCCCCCTCTTTGCTGCACGCGGGAAGAGATTAGTGTGTTAATGACTTCGTCTCACGACACGTGGGAAAAGCCTTCTTAGAAAAATGATAAGTAAAATTCAAATGTCAAGAAAAAGTAGGCACACTATAAGAGAACTTTAGCCAGCTGTGAACGGTTGGTCATGTCCTTTCAAGACTGCTCGCTTTCTCAAGTATTTAGTACAAAAATCAGTTCCGTTAGTGAGAAGAGTATTCCAGACAAATAATAAGACCGGTGCTGATGTAAATAATTGATAGATCTAATCGGGACATATTATCGCAAAGTTGTCATGCTGGAGGTGCGTTGCGCGTCGTAGACAGAAAAGTTTCATCACGATTAACCGGCCCATGCTCTCCTCGTTCTCTTCTTCCTCTCATGCTTCGTTCCCAGAACTCCGGCGCGGTATGAAATAATGCTGATTTGTGAGAGAACAAATGCATATATGTAGAAAGGAAGAGATCGAAAGAAGAAGAAGGAGAAGGGAAATTTTCGATGAAAACATTTATCGTGGTGAGGCGAGGTTTGAACTTGCACAGCCACGATTTCTACAGCGAGCGTACTAAGAAATCGGCTATCCAGGCAAACTAGAGGAGCTTAGCAAAGCCTTGTATAGTATGTTATAGCAAGAGAGTGGGAAAAGGAAGCAAATATGAGGTTCAGGAATGTGGGAGGGTGAGGAGGAGAAAACGAGGGGGGGGTAGAACGAGCACAGAGAGAGAAACAAGAGAAGTGAGAAACAAAGAGAATGAGAGACGTAGAAAGGAAAAAAGGGCAAACAAAACATGACAGATCTCTCTGTCACAGGAATCGGTACAACACGGAAATGAAACGTGTCTTCACAGAAGTAGTGCTTATTGCATAGTGATATATGAGAACTTGCACAATGTACATTGGTGTTAGGCTGCTATAGCACCATTTAATTTCGATACACTCCAGGGGCGCAGCTATAAATTTTTTTGCGGGGAAGGAGGGAGGTACACTTTATGGACGTGCCCTATATATATATATATATATATATATATATATATATATATATATATATATATATATATATATATATATATATATATATATATATATATATGGAGGGCAAGCAAAATGAAAAAATTTGGGGGAGTTGAATTTCCCAGCACCCTCCTTTTTTTTGGCTTCGCCCATGATATACCCACGTTGACGCCTAGTGCCTCATACCTGTACACAGCGTATCGTGAACTCCGTGCAAAGATGAAATCAGCGAGCATATAATAAACACTGGTACTCGATATGCGCGTCTTCAAAGTGTCGTCAATTGAGGAGAGAGATTTCACGGCGTGCGTTCCTGAGCAATGGGGTAACTTACGCCTGCGCTCATGCATACACTACCAGGCTGCGATTCAGCAACGCCGGAGGTAGAGGTTCATAGATCGAGCCACAAACGCACGCAGGCGTTCTATGTCCCGCTGGCTTCTGTCTCACTGCACTGGTACGTCATTTGCCTGTCGACATCGTTGCCTCTCAGCAGCAGTTTTATTAGCCTGTGCTGTCGCACTCAAAGTAGCGGTGGCGAAACCACGTTGGCACATGTGAAAACTGCACTACTCCGACTACAAGCCGTCACACGTGGTAACACGAAGCAAAAGTCATAGAACATAAGTTCGTCGGCAAATTTCCGATGCGACCACGGCCAATGTTATTCCCTGCTGTCGAGGCGCTTTAACCATGGTGTCCAAGATTGCGTGCCGACGCGCAATCTCGAACGCTCAAATGTGTGAGAGGTATAATGCATTTTTGTAACATGCTCAGTATTTGCGTGGGTAGCTTAGTCTGTAAAGCACTGGGCGTTTGTCGTCATGAGCCGAAAAGTCAGAAGTTCGACTTTCGGCGGGGGAACTTTTCTTAATGTTTTTAAAAACGAGTCTCTCACGCGATTCTTGAACGCAGAATATTGGTCTGCCTGTATGTCACACGATTTATCCCACCCAGCCAAAGTTTAAGCAACGGTGTGTAAACTCCCTATACCTGGCATGGTACGCACCCTCACCAGGGGATACACTGCGTTAGCACCCCATCCAGTACTGGCGGCTGCCGGGTATGCTACCACTAATAATTCACATACAATACATATTCACAATAATATTCACATACATACAATACATCTACAGGGGATCAACTGCTACCATTGTGCTTCATATAGAAAGCAATAGAATACCAATCAAGAAAGGTGTGCGGCAGGGGGACACAATCTCCCCAATGCTATTTACCGCGTGCTTACAGGAGGTTTTCAGGGGCCTAGAATGGGAACAGTTAGGGATAAGAGTTAATGGAGAGTACCTTAGTAACCTGCGCTTCGCCGATGACATTGCATTGCTGAGTAGCTCAGGGGACGAATTGCAACTCATGATTACGGAGTTGGGCAAGGAGAGCAGAAAGGTGGGTCTTGAAATTAATCTGCAGAAAACGAAAGTAATGTACAAGAACCTCGGAAATGAGCAGCGCTTCGAGATAGGAAATAGTGCACTTCAAGTCTACTTAGGGCAGGTAATAACCACGGAGTCCAATCATGAGATTGAAGAAGTAACTAGAAGAATAACAATGGGGCGGAGCACATTTGGCAAGCGCATTCAAATTATGACAGGTAGATTGCCACTATCCCTCAAGAGGAAGGTATATAACAGCTGTATCTTGCCGGTACTTAGCTACGGAGCAGAAACCTGGAAACTTACAAAGAGGGTTCAGCTTAAATTGAGGACGACGCAGCGAGCAATGGAAAGGAAAATGGTATGTGTAACCTTAAGAGACAAGACGAGAGCAGAGTGGATTAGGGAAACAGACGGGGGTTAAGGATACCATAGTTGAAATCAAGAAGAGGAAATGGACATGGGCCGGGCATGTAGCGCGTAGACAGGACAAGCGCTGGTCATTAAGGGTAACTAACTGGATTCTCAGAGAAGGCAAGTGGGTTAGGGGGAGACAGAAGATTAGGTGGGCAGATGAGATTAAGAAGTTTGCGGGTAGAAATTGGCAGCAGCAAGCACAGGACCGGGTTTACTGGCGGAACATGGGAGAGGCCTTTGTCCTGCAGTGGACGTAGTCAGGCTGATGATGATGATGATGATACATTTCAATCATTACGTCACAGGTGATGTCAGCAAGTATAGGGAAAGGTTGTAAACCGAGGGGAGGAGAGTTGCCATGAAAGATCTCTTTTCCCACTTCACTTACAAGCAGAATATGTTTGTGGTCTCTTGCAGGTCCTCTCGCCGGTTCGGGCGACGCCGCAATTTTTAAGTGTAGTGAACCATTTTTTTTTTAAATGTTCTGCGCGTGTTTCTTGAAGTGTACAAAGGAAAGCTGGCTGATTTCTAAATAGGACAGAATTCGATCAACACAAGTAATGTAAGCTTTTCTGTATCTCACGTTCCGTACTAACAACAGCGACATATGCACGTAGTGTGAAGAGTCAGTCAGTCTGCAAAAGCAGCTTTATTTCACAACTGGAATGTGCACATGATGACAAAACAATGATCCAAGAATATCCGAACCAACGCGAAAGTTATTAACAGTCCCAACCAGGTCATGTCGTACTTGACTCAATCTCATCTGTCGCGACGGCGAGCATATTTTCTTTCATATCATGAGCACCAAACAATACAGACGCTCAGGGCAAGATGGAAGTGTGAGGCCTTGAGAAATCGTTGATCAGGGAACCCCGCTTGTGGATATGTCCACTTTTCAAAACATCGGCTCCAGTGACATTATCTATCAAAAGATTTCTCAAAGCAACAGTGAGTCCAATACATGTATTTCAGT